CTAAACCCTGAACTCTAAACCGGTGGTAGCGGTTGTGGTTTTGATGGTGGTGTTAGTCGGTGGTTCCCTAGCGAGGTGTTTGCTCCCATTAGTAGTTCTGTCCAGTATTATGCTTTTTTAATCATGACTATTTAGTCTTATTGCTAGTCCTATTGCTACTAATATTACCAGTATTCCAACCAAAAGCCTGTTATAACAGCCGGAGTGACGGGGATTTTGACGTCGGCAGCAGTGATAGAAATGGCGGAAGAGATCATATGGGCAATTAAAATGGCAGCTGACGCTACGTCTCTGGTGATAAGAGCGATTAGGGGCTAGGTCCCTAACCCCCTAAACTCCAAAGCCCCGAATAGATTGCTAAGGAATCTAAGGGACAATTCGCTGTAGAGAAACAATCGGGTGTTGTGCGTATCAGGGAAAAGAAGCTTGCCCAGCTCCCCGTCACAAGCCTTAAGCGCTGAATCCCAACCCCTAAGCCAACAAAGTCCAAAATTCATGGTTTCCCTGCCAGGCTTGGTGCAACCCACAGCTGCTCCTAGGCCAATTAGTGGTGTTCCTATGCCACGTTAAGCCACAGAAATCAAACAAGTGCTCATACCCAGTCCCCCTAAAGGATCCAAAAAATTGATCCACCCCCAATATGCACCCATGACTAAATTGGGAGAACTAGGCGATGATTAGGGGATTCCAGTTTTTTGGATCCTTCAGGGGTCCGGGTAAGCAGCCCCTTTTCTAGAACAGTGTTCTGAACCCTAAGCCCTCGTACCCTAGACCTTAGGGTTTAGGGTCTGGGTTTAGGGCGGGCTACCCAAATCATGATTGCCCCCTTCCAGTGACCCTAAATTGTCTAAAGCCCGAGGCCAATTTAATCAGACCCTTCACCATAAGAGCTATAGTCTAAACTCTTAGAAAGTCGGTGCAAAAGGGGATTATAAAGGTGGCTATTATAAGGGTTATTAAGGGGGCTGGGTTTTTAGTATGGCTGATAAAGCTTTTTCCAAGAGGGGCGGGTTAACGGCCCTAGGCTAAACCCTAAACCCTCAACCCTTACACCTAAACCCTTAACCCTAAATCCCAAACCCTAAACCCTAAAATGCCAAACCCTAAACCCTACACCCTAAACCCTAAACCCTAAACCCTAGGCTTGGGAGAGTGCCTTCCTCAGGGCCAAGGTCACCATCAGCATCCAGCAGGCGCCACGGTCTTCTCCTGGTCTAGATAAATCCTAACAACCCCCCAAGCTCGGTGATTGAGAGGGTTTGTAGGATTTAGGAGTCGGCTTTGGGGTGGAAGGTTGTATAGTTTTAGGGTTTTGGGTTTGGGCAAGAGCATCATGATTTAGGGGTGTGCCGGCCTGCAGTCGAAGCAAAGACCCAGGAAGCCAACAGACCAAAAAGACACACCAGTTCTTCTTTTCGGGTTGGCTTTGGGGCTGCAGGTTATAGTTTTAGGGTTTAGGGTTTGGGCTACCAAATAGACACACCACTTCTTGCTTTGATCTCATTATGAATCTAGTTTGAAAAGCCCAAATATAGTGGTCTCCATTCCATGGTCTTTGAATTATACCCTTTTAATTCGGCTCTGTAGCAAATACCTGTACTTTCCAATCCGAGCTGCTGCAAGTCAGCTTGGGATCCTGGATGGATCAGACTTGTAGCCAAGGTTGCATGGAAGCTACTATAGTATATTTGGTTGTATTGGGGTTATACTGGGACAATGGAAAAGAAAATGGGAACTAAGATATAGGATATTGGGGTTATACTGGGATAATGGAAAGGAAAATGGAAACTATTATGGTATATTGAGGTCATACTAGACTATCGTGCACTTCGAAACCTTTGTAGAGATGTTCGGTTTTGCTTCTGGCCCCCTACAAAGCCAACTGACAAGGCGCCATATTGTATTTTGCTACTAGTACTGAAGCTGCTCTCATCACGTATATAGTATTGAATACCCTTCTCCAGTCCTCGTCGGATGCCTAGTTTAGAATACAAGAAATGCTCGCAAACGAGACACGCACCAACCACCTCCTCTCATGAAGAACCCCCATCCCTCTACCAAAAGAAACCTGGTATGTCATTGGGCTACATTCCTAAAATCCTCGAATATTCACTGTTGCAGCGTGGGTGGGGCTCCATGATGATGAGGAGGAGGAGGGAATTAATTACATATCTTCTGACAATTCTAGTGATGATGACCATCAAATCCCAAATAGTCGTTTCCAATTTATGTTCCATTATCATTATCCCAATTTAACCCCAATATACTATAAAGCAGATTCCATTTCATTTTCCGTTATCCCAATATGACACCAATATAACCCGAATATTACCCGAATTGGCACCCATATCCATGTTGTGGACGCTGATCCTGATGATGGTTGCCTTGGCGCAAGTGGCAGGGGTGATAATGGCTTGGACGATGACGACAGTTATGATGAAGGAAGTTAGGCGCGATGCTGCCGGCGCACTATCTCACTAGCAGTTTTTGAGAAAGCAGTCTGCCTTGGGTCCTGCCGCCACTCATTAACAGTTGGATAATATGTATAATATAGTTATATATAGCCCTTAATATGACCCCTAGTATAGACTGTTAATGGGTGGGGGCAGGACCCTACGTCTCGCCACAATTTGGATTGCTGCTGCTTTTCCTGATTCTGATGGGCTGTGCAAGCACGCCGAGGATGAAGCTCGACACCCCGGGATCAATACCTATGAGTTGGGTCATTCCCCCTCCCAGTAGCTGTCCTTAAAGGGGCCTTATTAAGCGGGTTCTTATAACTCGTATAACCCATTGTGGTAACAGTTACTGTAAGGGGGAATGACCCAACCTATGAGCTTACGCCCCTGGCGTTCACGCCTCGTCCCTAAGCCCCGCACTCTGTATCCCTAATTTGAAGCAAGCATAAACCTCTAACACTTTTTGCTAAAGCCCTAAACCCTGAACCCTAAATCCTGAACCCTGAACGCTAAAACCTAAACCCTAAAGCCCAATTCCTAAAGCCTAAGCCCTGAACTGAAGAAACCCTAAAGCCCTGAACCCTAAGCCCCAAGATCTGCACAGCAGTTCCAGGCTCTGCTTGCCTTGGAGGGCTTCAGGGGCAAGGGCGCCTCACCAAACGAGGCCTACAGCTCCTTTGCACTGGGTCTGGGCTGATTGTTGCGATCTCGCCCAAACTGGACTCAGAAGGAATTGGGGTTACCTGAACCCCCAAAAGTATGTCGAATTATAGCCTTTTGGGCTATTATTATGGGTTTAGGGCTATTATTTTACACTTTTGGGGGTTTAGGTCGTAGAGAATCTATGCTTTGTTTCTGAGCTCTGAACTCGTAACATGTCAACAGATTCGTCGAAAAGTTCCTGCGGCTTTGGGTATCAGAACGTCTTGTCTCCATTGTCATCATGCGAGCTATAATCTAAACTCCTAGTATCCCCCTTACTAACCCCTAGAATGCCCCCCTACATAATCTCCTCCTTAACTTTCCTTCCAGGAGTCTAGACCCTAAACTCTAAACCCGATATAGTGCCCCTATACAACACCCTTTAGAGAGTGGAGACTATGGCTCATGTTGCAGTTTTGATTATATTCAGGCAGCAAGTGGGGCCATGGATTTCAGAAACGGACGGGTTGAGCAACTTGCTGGTTCCTAGTAGGTAGGACATTTGGGAGTATAATCCTTACATAGTATGCTTAGGGTTTAGGGTTCAGGGTTAAGGGTTTTGTAGGGAATAAGGGAATATACTCCCTACATGGTATATTCCTTCATGCCCTATTACTCGTAAGAGCCAGTAAGGCAATGATGCAGCTAGCAGTGTACCCTCACAATGCGGATGTCACAGTTCTGATGCGGTAATAGTATTCGAGAGCTCTTTGGCAGACCATCATTACGCACAGAATTGAGCTTACCAGACTTTGTCGTGGAATGCAAAGAGCCCAATGGCTGGCCATCAAGGTCATAAGATTCCGACAACTTGTTGTCGGGATTTCACCTTCGCATTTCAGAAATTTCTGGGTCTTTTACACGCCTCTAAGTATTCGAATGCGTTTTAGTCGGCGCTCCCGAAAGGGACACCGAATTCTGAGAAGGATACATCTGCATGCGCCGTGGCAGCTGGCTCCAGGCATGCCAACAGCTTGTGCAGAGGTCGGAGTACTCAGGAAGCCCGATAACCGTCAGCTTGAAAGCAGAATACGATTTTGATATCATGTAAGGCATATTCTGTCATTCCCTTTTATACGCGGCCTTACAATACTGGATCCCTGTAATACTCCCCAGATAGCCCATACAGCTGTACCTACATTTCCATTGTTAAGGTGTATTGGGCTTTGCAGGTAGTTTGACGGGAAAGTACTTAGAGCGCAGCTATGGCAACATGGTCCGTGTCGCTGCGGTTGCTCGCCTCCAATCAAGCAAAGCTGCGATGTGGGTCACTCAAGCCCCTCGTTATTGTGCCTGGAGCCTTTGCAGTGATTCCGCGGATGCCGAGCGCAATGTTCCTAAGGCAGCGACATCAATCTTAAATTAGGTTTCACAATAGGGGCAAGTCTCCCAAATGGCCGTCATGCCATTCCGAGATTAGGACTCGCCTATTTTTGGACCCCTTAGGATCCCAACATACCCATAGAATCCTCTCGAATTTCCGAAAAATGGTCCCATCAGCAAGCCAGGTGCGCCAGCCAGCTGTCAGGCCAGCAGCCCTCTTTGGGCGATGTGGCCAGGTATGTGTGCCAGGAGATCGGCGGAGAGTATGCAACTAAACTTCAGAGCCCCCCGGGGCTTCGAAATGGGGGTTTCCCAAAGTTAAGGGTACCTTTTTGGGGGTCCCTATAATAAAGATTATAGTATTTTGGGGTCTATAGTAGGGTCCCCTTATTCTGGGAAACTACCAAATAACAACCTTTTTCGGAGCAATGATTTTGGGCACGCTGCAAGTAGCGTGCCTGTTGGGCTGAAGCTAAGATTGATGAAGCATCCGTCAAATCATTTCTGTGAGGTGCTATGGACATTGCCCTCTTGCTGGACTATCATGTGTCTGACGATTCCAGCCAGGTAGAGATGGATGATGCTCGTGTCATCATCGAGGAGTTGCAGGCTTCCCCGGATGATTTCGCTGAGTTCTTGTCCTCTCCGCAGCCAAGTGCGGTCGGGGCAGATGAAGTTGGGCAGTCGCAGTCCAGGACTGAGATCTCTGACGCAGAACGCGAGCTGCTTGCATGCAGGACAGAGGCAGACTTTAGGCAATTTGCTTCACGCCGCGGCGCAACTTGCTACCAAAGCAAGCACTGGGTGGTGAAGCACGCCTGCGGCGCGCGCTCTACAATGTCTGTCAATCCTAACCCCAACAAGATCCGCGAGACCGGCATGAAAATGAGAAAAGAGTTCCGGCGCATTTACAACATTTGACTATGCTTTGCCATGCAACCAACTGGATGTTGCTGCCGCATTCCCTGATTTCAAGTTGTACAGTCTGGGACTCCCATCGAATGCGGAACGGCTAAAGTGCCTCTAGCCCATCGAGTTTGACGTAGAAGGCAGTAGGTTAGGTCACGTTGAGCTGCTGAGTGAGCGCGCAATTTAATTTCAATGCTCAGGTGCCAAAAGAACCGCATGCAGCTTTTGCGCCTGTATCCATATGAAGGTCCCAGTGAGTTATGCCAACGCAGCACCAAAACTCCGCCGCAGTGATCATGATCCTGTGGATGGACCTTGTCCATGCCATCGTCTAGGGATGAAACGTCGGACCTCGAAAGTTGGACCCGGAAGTGTCGTCAACTTAAAATCGCATTGCACGGATCTGTCCTACGGTGGATACTACAAATCCAGCATGTCCCGAAGTACCTTATACCTCGGGAACCATAATCCTATAGTATACTAGGGTCATGCAGATTATTTAGTATCAAAAGCATGCAACTTCCTCCTGCTTAGGGTGCACTGCCTTGATGCCTTGCTCCAAGCTTGGGCAGGATGCTCCCAAGAGTCTTTTTCCCCTAATACCAAGCATCCAGCGCCCGTCATATGCTATATTTCTTAAACGAGGCTATATGTATATATTTAGTTGGGGGGGGGACAGGCTCAATATTGGGTGGGAGTGTCTAACAATAGGGGAATCAACTGGTATGATGCTTTTGCGCTGAAGGCTTTAAAGCTTCCAACCGTCTAGGTTGTAAAGCTTAACAGGAGCCAGAATTACTTGGAGGAGCGTGGGATCTGGTAGGTTTATCCACGGCAAAAAAGTGCTTGCTGGATTATTGCCCTAACCAGGGCAGTCGGTTTGGACATGCCTGAGACGTCAATCACCAATCCCTTTGCTTACAGTATGTACTACATAAATCTCCCATCACTCACTTGGATGATCTTTTGACTTAGACTTATGGTGTCCCCCATAGCCCTCCTTAAAAGCCCCATAGCCCCTGTTACGAAGTAGGTCTACTTTAGGTGGACCCCCCACCCAGTAATAGTGACTATTATGGATAATAAGGATTATATTAGGTTCCTATTATATTCCTATTATACCACTATTGCAGGGTGGGGGGTCCTCCTTAGATCTACTAAATCAAGAGATCGTCCAAGTACCTCCTCAAGGCTCGCGATCTGCTAGCGGGCTCCCTGGTCACACTGCGTGCGTCGGCGGTCGGGAGCCTCACGGCGCAGGGGCAGAAGATCCTGGTTTTAGATTTGAGCAGATTTGCCCATATTTTTCAAAACGCATGTTCAGACTTTGACTAGCCTAACCCCATGTCGCGCTTAAAGGCAAAGATAATTTTTTCAAGTCTACAGTGTCAGCATTTTTCAACCGGTTGGTTTTCAAGAATAGGGCCCTTTCTCGGGACTCAAAACGGTGGGTAATCTATTTGGTGCCCCAAGGACAGGCCCCTCCGACGTTTAGTGAACACACAGGAAAACAATAGATAATTCGTTCACTGCACTACAAGTCCACGCTCCAGACATTGGGGAAAGAAATCCACATCTGAACCGAGGCCTTTGAAGTTCATACGCTAGCGAATCTGAAGGCAGGGCTTTTGGCTTCAGGGGTGGGATTCCCTGAATTTGTCATTTTGCTTTGAATGAGGATTGTTGGATTGATGCCCAATGATCTGTCCTCGCAGAAGTTTGTCATTGAGACGTCTTCTTCGACAGCTCCTCGGCATCAGCTGGACTCTTTTCTAAACGGTTGGCCGCGATCTACCCTAAACCCTGAAACCCAAATAAAAGTTACCATTTCATTGGAATTTATCCCAGTAGAACGCCAATATACTGTATAGTAGTTTCCACTTTGTTTTTCATTATCCCGAGATAATCTTAATGTAGCCCCAATGGGTCTTGTCTTCATAGTCCGCGTCCTCGTGATGAGGGCTACTTGGGGGACCGTTCGAATCTTCTTGAGGCAGATTATAGTATATTGGGGTTACATATTGGACGCTCCTATAGTATGCATTGGGGTCATCTCGGGATAATGGAAAGGAAAATGGAAACTACTATGCTATATTGGGGTTATAGGTGTGTAGAAGAATTTGTAACGCTCCACCATACCAGCGAAAGCCCAGCCTCTTCAGCTGATACCCAACAGCCCATAAGAAATCCTAATATCCTGGAACCCGATCAGTTTACAGCCGGAGACTCTAAACCCTGAACCTTAAACTTAAACCCTAAACCCTTAGCACCGGACCCCCAGGGCTTTCTTTCCGCAGCTGGACTGGTGTAGGCAGCGGTGTAGATTCAGCATTATCACGTTGCCCAGATTTTTCCATTTTTGGGAATCTAGTTAACAGCGCCTATTATATTCTCGAAGGGGAACACATGTCCACTAACCGTCTAAGAAGTACATGACTGCATCTCAGGCTAGGGGTCTGCATCATCCTTCAGTGAGTTGCTTTACAAATCCAAAGACCTGGGCTTGACCTTAAACCCTAAGCCCTAAACCCTAAGCCCTAAACCCTGAACCCCATGCGTTCCGCTTTCCCAGTTCTTGCCTTGATGGGTGAGATAAAGGGTTTCCCATGGACGCTTTGGCATTGGAGAGCTGAAGCGAGAGGATGTGGAAGTTTTTCTATTGTTCATGCGAAGAGGGGCTTGCGGTACGGCCTGGCTGGAAGGCTTTCTGACATGCAGTCGGAAACAGGTCCGAGAAAAAAAACCAAACCCTAAGCCCTAAACCCTAAACCCTAAGCCCTGAGCCCTGAGCCCTAAACCCTACACCCTAAACCTTAGACCGTTGACGCAGGCCGCAAACCTGAAACCGTAAGCCCTAAACCTGGAAACCTAAAGCCGCGCCCCTAACCAAGCCTTGAGCCCTAAACCCTGAGGTTTAGAGTTTGGGTTTAGGGTTGATTAAGGATTCGGGTTTAGGGTTGATTCTGGTTTTGGATTAAGGCTTGATGAGGGTTTAGGGTTTAGGGGTGATTATTGTTACCCTACTGCTCTTACCATGTCATGGATCTCTCTGTTGACCTAGGCCCAGCCCATCTTCTCTGGCGAGCAGATTCGCCTGAGATGCCTTGCAACCGGGCGCCTCCTGGGGCTCGAGACGTCCGCCACGGGTGAGTTCGAATCTTCGGCGAGTTTGGGATTGGGAATGCGTCTAAACTCGGCATTTTTTTCTAGTGTAAAACCCAAGTCATGACCAGGGTAATCGTAATACCTTATAGTCTTTCATAATTACAGCATTACAGATACCACTAGCTTACACGCTAAACCCTAAACCCTAAACCCAAAGCCCTAAGCCCTAAACCCAAAACCGCACACCTAGTTTTAGATCGATATAAAAACGATTTTCTGCATCCCACAAGTTTCAAGGCAAAACTCCAGGCTCAGGGTTGCATGACGCTTGGGAAGGTCTAGGGTTTAGGGTTTAGGGTTGTGCCGGTTTAGGGTTTGGGGGTTTAGGGTTTAGGGTTGTTGGTTTAGGGTTTGGGGGTTTAGGGTTTGGGGGTTTAGGGTTGTACGTTTAGGGTTTGGGGGTTTAG